GTGTACAGTATGAAAAAAATGCATATTCATTTAGAAATTTGCTAAAGATTGCATCTAACAGTAATATATTAAAACAGTAATATATAAAATTATTAGTGTTTTTAAAGATCAACTTTCTGTTTGTTAGATTACAGCAAAGTTAATCTAAATGTAAACGTATATAAATATTAAATATTTACAGAGCCCTGTACATGACGTGGACAAAAATATATTAATAAGAATTTGTTCCATTGTTTTATTCATAATTTGCCTTGTTTTATTAATTTATTCCCTCATTTTAATAATTTGTTACCTTGTTTTAGTTCATTAATTTTTGCGAATTAAGAATTTGTTCCCACAACTTAATTTGTTCCCTTGTTTTAGTAAATCGTGGGCATATTTTACTAATTTTTTCCTCATGTTTTGATTTAATTAAAACAAGGGAACAAATTTATATATACTAAATTTCATGTCATGTACAGGGCTCCGTGAATTTCCAATATAAATTAATGTTATAGAAGTGAAAAAATACAAGTGGAAGTGGCACTAGTATATTGTGCATCCCCATATATATATATATATATATATATATATATTGTGCATGCAATAAAAAGTAATTCTACAAATTGGTTTTGTAGTCTTAGGACACCATGAAAGGTATAGAGACATGCTTGTGTAATGTGAAGTCAGTCCCGTTCCTCTCCAGTGCTGAGGAATCATCCTCTTTGGCCGGTTATCGATCAAATCATTATTCCTGCACAATTAGAGCATCTCAGAGGTGTTAGTCCCGACACAAAGATGGACAGCCTGCGCTGGGCTTCCAAATTATCTCCACCTTAGTTATTCGAGAGGTTAGACGTTTGAGGACACAACTGCCTAACTTTGGGACGACGCTATTAGCGCATCATTCATGCACCACTTCTTTTGCTTTAATCCCACATGCAATTAAATGATTTTTATCAATTCACCTTTATCTTTGTATTAATGTTTGGTTGGCTTATTAGAGTCTGATTGTTGGTCTATGACAGGAAATCTGTAGCATAGTTGGCGTAGACGGGCCGGAGAAATGCTCACTTTCCTCGCTCCATTGATTTATCAGGGCATTTCTGTAGGTAATCCTCATTCTCTATGGCTACAGAGCAGCCAGATAAGAGTTTGGCTCATTAATTCTGTGCCAGACTGGGAATATCAGCTTTGGACATCAGCCATGGCCCACAAGACTGAGATGAGGGAAGGCAAGAATCCCGTCCTTTCATTCCACTGTCCTCTCTGTCCTCAGAGTAATAGAGCCATAATGCAATATAATACTTATCCCTGTATACCTTATACCTGAAAAGACTATAGTGCATTAAAACACATGAAGAACAACCAATTTAATTGTAATTTAGTTGTAATTTGTATTATACTATTAATCTAACTTAATAAAATATTACCAAAGTAATAAAGTAACTTATTTAATGTATTTTTTGATGATTATAACTTTATAATTTCTATTTAAATATTATAATAACTTTTTATATTTTTTTAGAAAGTGAGAAATGTGTAGCTTAACATTCAAACAAAACATAAAAACATTTGTGACCATCTTGATTGCGAATGAACTATGTAATACAATACTACAAAATCTAATATATATAGTAATTGATATATAACATAATTACTACTAAATAATACAAAAAAACTGTAGTAATAATAGTAACAGTAATACTGATAATAATAAACAAAATAATAAAATAATATTAAGAAAAAAAAAATATTTAGAAAGAAAATAATCAAATATATGAATAATTACTACAATATATAATATACATCTAATAATATATATATATATATATATATATATATATATATA